AACTGAATTTGCTAAATAATTTTAAAATTCCCAAAATTGTTATATCAAGTATGAGTTATATAAAAGGGCACTAAATTCAGTCACCCTGGAAATCACATCACCCAAAAGAAGCTACGAAAGAAAACTCCCGAAAAAATATTTTTAATTTCTGATACTTTTTATGTCTATATAAGAAGTAAAGCCAAAACTAAGGATTCGGTAGGATCATTAAAAGACGAGATTAACCAAGAGTAAATGGAGGATAAAAGGGCAGCAAGCACAATGAATACTTTACATCAGTGTTCACACCAGAAAGACTAGACGACATCCTGCATCACCCACACATTTTTGGAGGTGGTAAAGGAACGCATTGCCCGCTCATAACGTGTGAATCAACAAGAGCATTGATAAACTAAGACTAAAGCCCCAGGTGGGGATCGAACTCAATTCAAAGTCATAAAGGAACTGGTAGATGAACTATGCCTACCATTGAAACTATTCACAACGTCTCTGGACCAAGGGACAGTCCCCCCAGATTGGAATTATGCAAAAGTTACCGCTATTAAAAAAAAAAACAGGAGCAGCTCTGCAGAAAATTACTGTCTGATCAGCTTAACATCACACATCTGCAAGCTCATGGAGAGAACCCTAATGGAGGAAATCATTCACTCTTTCAGTGAAAAATCTTGTCAAATCGACAACATGGGTTTGTGAAAAATAGACCTTACAAAACTGCTCACATTTTTCGACACGGTAAACAGCTACTCTGACATATGACTAAGTCGATGCGGTATACAGGCATGGTGCAAAAGCTTTTGACAAGGTACTACAGGCAAGACAAACAAGGAAGTTACAGGCACATTGAATAAATGGTAGAATACTGGAATGGATAAAACAGTGGTTAAAACAATGCAGGGAGCCGGGGTAAACAGGAATGAATCTGACAAGTTTGGCGAGGGGTACACAGGGGTCCAATTTTGGGGTAAACCCATTTTGCCATATACATAGAAGAGAACATTACAAACTACATCAAATTTACACATGACACTAAGATTTAGGGTAAAGTGGCAAGTGAAAATGATATCGAGGCCTTGCAACGAACTACATGAACTTCACAAATGGTTAGAAGATTGCCAAATGCTTTTAATAACAAATGCAAGACCCTGCATGAGGGGCATATCAACGCACATCACAACTACCATATTAATAACATTACCTTGAAGCAGATTGGAAAAAAAGGACATTTGAGTCAAAGTCCATCATTTACTGAAAGTCGCACGAGTGGAAGCAGCAGTATCAAAAGCTAACCAAACTCTAGGAATAATCAAGCATACCTTTGATCGAGGAAAAGAAGGTAGGGATTCAATTGTATATATCAACATTGCACCCACATTTGGAATATTGTATCCATGCTTTGAGACCATCTTCATAAGGACAACTACACTGGAAAATGTGCTAGACCGGGTAACAAAAATCCTTCCAGAGCCAAGCCAACGTAACGTATCAGGAACGGTTAAATCAAATGTAACAAAGAAGGAGCAACGGTTTCAAGCTCAGCAAGTCACAGTGTAGGACTGAAAACAGGAGACACTTTCTCACCCTCAGTTATAAACCCATGGAATCCGGCTACCCGCCTTAGCCGTAAATGCTAAAACCCCCCACCTCCCTCCTCCCACGTGCCCTGGCCAACATGTAGCACCCCCTCCCTCCTCCCACGTGCCCTGGCCAACATGTAGCACCCCCTCCCTCCTCCCACGTGCCCTGGCCAACATGTAGCACCCCCTCCCTCCTCCCACGTGCCCTGGCCAACATGAACCACCCCCTCCCTCCTCCCACGTGCCCTGGCCAACATGTAGCACCGCCTCCCTCCTCCCACGTGCCCTGGCCAACATGTAGCACCGCCTCCCTCCTCCCACGTGCCCTGGCCAACATGTAGCACCCTCCTCCCACGTGCCCTGGCCAACATGTAGCACTCCCTCCCTCCTCCCACGTGCCCTGGCCAACATGTAGCACTCCCTCCCTCCTCCCACGTGCCCTGGCCAACATGTAGCACCCTCTCCCACGTGCCCTGGCCAACATGTAGCACCCTCTCCCACGTGCCCCTGGCCAACATGTAGCACCCTCTCCCACGTGCCCCTGGCCAACATGTAGCACCCTCTCCCACGTGCCCCTGGCCAACATGTAGCACCCTCTCCCACGTGCCCTGGCCAACATGTAGCACCCTCTCCCACGTGCCCCTGGCCAACATGTAGCACCCTCTCCCACGTGCCCCTGGCCAACATGTAGCACCCTCTCCCACGTGCCCTGGCCAACATGTAGCACCCTTTCCCACGTGCCCCTGGCCAACATGTAGCACCCTCTCCCACGTGCCCCTGGCCAACATGTAGCACCCTCTCCCACGTGCCCTGGCTGTAATGATCTGTGCAGATCATGGCTCTCCCTCCTCTCCCCTTTCCTTCATTTTACTCTCCCTCGTTTTCCCTCCCTTCCCATTTGTCAGAGTCTGACCCTCACTGGTCACAACGGTTTGAAGTCAAGTTTCCCTTAGTCCAGTGAGCCATCGGGAGGCTGGACAGCCCCTCTGTTTCCACTCCTCCCCACTTATTTTCCCTCTCTACCCCTCTCCCTTGCCTTTCCTATAACCATTGACGAATTAAGGAATAGTAACTCAGGGTCATAAACTTGTGCTCTCAAGTTACACGTGGGTGGCCAGCCAGCTTTTCCCACGAGTCGGTTGTTACTGCTTATTTACAGTACACGAGTTTTCTGTCAAGAGGAATTGACCCTTTTGGTCAAGGCTGGTTCTGATAGGTTGCAACCATTGAGGCCTAGGATACTTGGCCCTTGTTGGATAAGGATTCAAGAGGCGGAGTCCCCCAGGGTAGGGCCTGTCCATTCCATTGGCTATAGGTCTAGAGAGGCGGGGCTTATTGGGCCTAGGAACTAGGTGGGTGGAGCCTGTTCCCACTGGTAAGAGTTTAAGAAAATATTAAAGTCAGTTTGTCTTGGGACTTCAACTGGGGTTGCAGGTCAGGTGATCTGAGTGCAGCCACTCAACATCTGGGCTGACTTTGCAGGTTAAGGTAATTGTGCACTTGAGTTTTCATGTACATCATTGAGCCATTCCGTTGCCTTAAGGATGTTTATTAGAGTAGGCTATATATTTTCAAATTGATTTCAATTAACATGTTTAAATAATAAATAAAGTGTATTAAGGTTAATTTGTGTTTAGTTATCTGTTCCCTTTGATTAATGCTGTGTTATTTATTCTTATTGGTGGTTTTCATTTGCTATGCTAGGAATTCTCCCGTGTTTTCTATTTTATGGATATTAGAGTTGTCCTTGAATCCTCAATCAGTAAAGTGAAGACTACATTTTTACTCCCAAGCATTTTACCCAGGTCCCCCATACCCTTCGAGTTTCATGATTACTGACCTCTTTCCTTCCTGGGGGATGAGTGATACACACATTCAGATTCTGAACAGGGAGGTGGCAGCCGTATTTAATGAGTTGGAATTATTAGTTTTAAATTAATAATCCTTATTCTTGTCGTTTCCTCCTCATTTAATATTTCAGAATTAATCATTCCTGTAGTTCATTGGGGAGTCACATTGATCTGCAAGCTGTGTTAAGCTGGAGTGTTGAAAGGGAGTAAAGGATGTAAAGAAAAAGGGTTATTACATGGCCAACATCTAGCACCCCCTCCCTCCTTCCACGTGCCCTGGCCAACATGAACCACCACCTCCCACGTGCCCTGGCCAACATGAACCACCTCCTCCCACGTGTCCTGGCCAACATGAACCACCCCCTCCCTCCTCCCACGTGCCCTGGCCAACATGAACCACCCCCTCCCTCCTCCCACGTGCCCTGGCCAACATGAACCACCCCCTCCCCCCTCCCACGTGCCCTGGCCAACATGAACCACCCCCTCCCTCCTCCCACGTGCCCTGGCCAACATGAACCACCCCCTCCCTCCTCCCACGTGCCCTGGCCAACATGAACCACCCCCTCCCTCCTCCCACGTGCCCTGGCCAACATGAACCACCCCCTCCCCCCTCCCACGTGCCCTGGCCAACATGAACCACCCCCTCCCTCCTCCCACGTGTCCTGGCCAACATGAACCACCCCCCTCCCTCCTCCCACGTGCCCTGGCCAACATGAACCACCCCCTCCCACGTGCCCTGGCCAACATGAACCACCCCCTCCCTCCTCCCACGTGCCCTGGCCAACATGAACCACCCCCTCCCACGTGCCCTGGCCAACATGAACCACCCCCTCCCTCCTCTCACGTGCCCAGGCCAACATGAACCACCCCTCCCTCCTCCCACGTGCCCTGGCCAACATGAACCACCCCCTCCCTCCTCCCACGTGCCCTGGCCAACATGAACCACCCCCTCCCTCCTCCCACGTGCCCTGGCCAACATGAACCACCCCCTCCCTCCTCCCACGTGCCCTGGCCAACATGAACCACCCCCTCCCCCCTCCCACGTGCCCTGGCCAACATGAACCACCCCCTCCCTCCTCCCACGTGCCCTGGCCAACATGAACCACCCCCTCCCTCCTCCCACGTGCCCTGGCCAACATGAACCACCCCCTCCCTCCTCCCACGTGCCCTGGCCAACATGAACCACCCCCTCCCTCCTCCCACGTGCCCTGGCCAACATGAACCACCCCCTCCCTCCTCCCACGTGCCCTGGCCAACATGTAGCAAGTATTCCTCCTCTCACGTAATTGTCCGTTTTCATTTCAAGCATAGAATTGTTAGTTGGAGTCGGGTCGAGTAAGGCAAGATAAGAACAATTTAAGCTACGAGATTTAAGTATAGCAATCTAGCAAGTCATCAAACACGGCTTATCTGATGAGTGGGAAACCGCCATCTATCTCGCATCTCATAGTTTATTATTTGGTTACCTCGTTAGGCTAATTCATAATTATCGAAATGCGTATTGATGTTCAGAGTTTAGCAAGCTTGGACTTAAAGAGGATAAGCTTACAAAGGACTGTAATGACATGAGACTTGCCCTAGGCCGACGACAGAAGCGCTGGTACCTGACGGTAGCCTGCACTATGGTGTCCACACACAACTCCCACAGCAACTTGGGATGCATTTACACACTGCGACTTCAAGGGCGCTGGTATCTGCCGTCGGCAGACACTGATGCTACGCCTGAAATATTTAAATATAAAATAATTCATATTTCAATGTGTAGGGGAACAAGCAGCCAGTATACAAAAAAACAGAAGACGTTACAATTATATCTATTATATCGAGGTCCCCTTCCCAGGGTCGAATTACTTCCCCTTCCCCAGGATGCAACCCCACAACAAGATTCAGAGTGGCTGAAAGTAGCCTCTGACACACACACTTGTCTTGTGACCATCGTGTTGGGTGGACGTGGGTTGGGAGCTCCTGGTTCACTAGTGGAGTGGGAGGGGTAATCAGGCAACTTCGAAGTGAAAAAGTGGGCACAAGTGAATGAAAAAACCTTGAGTTTTGGCCAGAGCCATAAGGTAGTGAAGAAAAACAGTTTAAATAGCGTAATTCAAAATAGTTGAGGAAGTATTGTGGCAGTGTGCAGTGTGGAGCAGACCTCACCGACCTCTGACCGCGTGACCTCACCCCGGCAGCAACCCTTCTACCACCACGTGGGACGATGCTTGGAGATTCACTCACCTATTGTGTTACCAGGACGGTAAGATACTTGGAACCCCTGTAGGTAAGGTTGCATTATAGCAATGACTAGGTCAGGAAGGGCGTCTAGGTCCAACAGTATTATGATTGAGGAAGAAGATAGGTTTGTGGAGAAGATGATTGGGAAATTTGTAGAGAAGAGGGATGTTTGGATAGGTGATCTAATCCAGGGGATTAAAAGTGAAGTCTTTAATAAGCTACAGGGCGAGGTTCAAAGACTCAAACAAGAGTTTATGGATTATATTCAAGAGGAAATCAGGAAGAGCAGGGTAGAATGGCAAGGAGAAATATCTAGGCTTACTAATGAATTTGGCAGGAATAAGGGAAGCTTGGCAGGGGAAGGGGGAGTAGTAGTAGTAGGTGGAGTAGCGGGTGTAGGAGGGGTGGGGGTCAGCCAGGGATGGGGCCACCAGCATGACCCTGAACTGAGAAAGAGGACAATCATAATCCATGGATTACTTGAAGCCAGGGCACCATCGAGGCAGGAAAGGATGGAGATTGAGGATTTGGAACTACAGGGGATCTTGAGAGACATGAGAGCCCAGATGGCAGGGAATGAGGTGCAAGTCCACCGACGCATTGGACCATACAACTAACAGGAAACGACCTGTCCTGGTACAGTTCACTAACGAAGAGGCAGTGGATTACATACTGCATCACAAACACCTACTCAGAGGTAGCGAAAATTACTACAACGTATTTATTGACAAATTCATGACGAAGGAGGAACAGATTGCCCACAGAGCAATCAAACAACAATACGACTCTTCCCATTTGAGCGCAGCTACACACCCCAGTGCTAATCCACCCCATGCTAACCAGCTCATACGTGCTTCTCAGGTCACCCCTTCCCCAAATCAGCCGCCCCTGCTTATCTCCCCAGCACATCCCTTGACCCCTCTGACCCCACTGGAGTCAAATTCATCCCACATTCCAAGGACCCCCTCATCACCTCAACCCCCAAAACCCGTCCAGCCCTCATCCCCTCAACCCCCAAAACCCACCCAGCTCTCATCCCCTCAACCTCCAAAACCCACCCAGCTCTCATCCCCTCAACCTCCAAAACCCACCCAGACCTCATCCCCTCAACCCCAAGAACCCACCCAGACCTCATCCCCTCAACCCCAAGAACCCACCCAGACCTCATCCCCTCAACACCCAAAGCCTACCCAGCCCTCACCCCTCCTCATCCCCTCTCCTTCCATGTGACCCCCCACCCTTGCGAGGGAGGTGGGAGGTCCCCCCCCCACCCCCTCTATCCTTCCCCCTCCCAACCTCTCAACCTCTATCTGTCTCCCAACCTTACGCTATCTCCCAACCCCTCTATGCCCTCCCTAATCTTCAGACCCAGTATGCCCTTCCTACTCCAGACCTACCTACCCAGGCCCTACCCCAGACCCTCCTACCTACCTTCCTAGAAGCCCAGCCCCCAGTAGCCCCCCAAGCACCCTCCTGAACTCTTTCACCCCCCATACACCCCCCGGACCCCCCCAGACACCCCCCGGATCCCCCCGGACCCTCCCCGCCCCCAGTCATCCCCCAGACATCCCCCAGATCCCCCAGACCCCCAGAGAAAGGGAGAACTCTGGTACAAGAGTTTCCATGAAGAATCTCAAGGTTTGGTACACCAATGCTGATGGGGTATCTAATAAAGCAGAAGAGATAAAAGAAAGAGTGAGTGAGGCAGTTCCTGACATAGTTGCAATTGTGGAAACTAAAATTAATGACATGATCTCAGATGCAATCTTTCCTGAAGGGTACCAGGTGATACGAAAAGAGAGGACACAGAGACAGGGAGGGGAGTAGCACTCCTAATAAAGCGGAAATGGAAGTTTGAAGACCTGGGAAATCGAGTTACCAATGAGTGCACAAGCTTCATACATGGAACTCTGACAGTAGATGGGAGGAAGATTGTGATCTTGGTAATCTACAATCCCCCACCAAACAGTAGAAGACCCAGGCAGGAGTATGATGACAACAACAAAGCATGTATAGATGAACTGCAGAAGGCAGCAACACTAGCCCACAGAATGAGAGCGAAGCTGCTGATCATGGGGGACCTAAATCATGGAGAGATAAATTGGGAATCAAGGAATCCCCATGGAGGGGACGAAACGTGGGGAGCAAATTAGTAGATGTTATAGACAGGAATTTCTTGACACAACATGTGAAGGAAGACACAAGGAAAGAGGAGGAGATGCACCGAGCCTATTAGACCTGATTTTCACCCAGAACGTAGAAGATATCGAGAATTTAGAGCATGAAATACCTCTAGGGGCCAGTGACCATTGTGTCCTAGTCTTTGACTACATGATGGAATTCAAACTTATGACCATGGGACAAGAGATCTGGGAAAGGAGAGCTGACTACAGGAAAGGGGACTATATGAGGATAAGGGACTATCTGGGTGAAGTGCAGTGGAGGAAGAAATTAGAGGAAAAACAGTCCAAGATATGATGGACCTAGTCATACAGAAATGCCAGGAGGCCGAAGAGAGATTTATACCAACGGTAAAGGGAAAAAATAAGAAGGAATATAATAACCCATGGTTTAATAGACAGTCTCAGGAAGCAAAGATGGCCAGCAGGCGGGAGTGGAGGAAGTACAGAAGACAAAGAACAGAGGACAACAGAAGCAGATACAACAGAGCTAGGAACGATTACATTAACGTAAGACGAACATCGGAAAGGGACTATGAGAACGATATTGCAATCAAAGCGAAAAAACAACCTAAGTTACTACACAGTCATATAAGAAGAAAAATGTCGGTGAACAACCAAGTGACAAGACTAAGGAAGACAGAGGGGGCATATACTGAAAGTGACAAGGAAATCTGCGAGGCACTGAATGCCAGTTTCCATGGAGTGTTCACTACCGAGCCTGAGCAGCTCCCATTGTTGGAAGGGGTTACCCTAGATGAAAGACTATCAGATATAGAGGTGACAGCAGAGGAGGTAATGAAACAGTTGACAACTCTAGATGCAACTAAAGCAGTTGGACCAGACAAAGTATCACCGTGGATACTAAAAGAAGCAGCACAGGCCCTCAGCGTGCCTCTGGCAATGATCTTTAATGAGTCACTTATGTCAGGAGAATTGCCCAGTTGCTGGAAGAAGGCAAATGTCATGCCGATCTTCAAGAAAGGAGATAGGGAGGAGGCACTTAACTACAGACCTGTATCACTGACAAGCATCCCCTGTAAAATACTGGAAAGAATAATTAGGCTACGACTGGTTGCACACCTGGAGAACATTAGGTTTGTGAACAAACATCAACATGGGTTCTGGACAGGGAAATCGTGCCTAACAAACCTTCTGGAACTCTATGATAAAATAACGAGGATAAGACAGGACAGAGATGGTTGGGCAGACTGCATATTTCTGAACTGGCAAAAAGCCTTTGATACAGTACCGCACATGAGACTGCTGTTCAAGCTCGAGAGGCAGGCGGGGGTGGGGGGAAAGGTCCTAGAATGGATAAGGAACTACCTAACAGGAAGGAGCCAAAGAGTTACGGTAAGGGGCGAGAAGTCGGACTGGCGAACAGTAAGAAGTGGAGTACCACAAGGATCGGTGCTGGGACCAATTCTATTTCTTGTATATGTTAACGACATGTTTACAGGCGTAGAGTCCTACATGTCGATGTTTGCGGATGATGCAAAGTTGATGAGAAGAGTTGTGACAGATGAGGATTGCAGGATCCTCCAAGAGGACCTGAACAGATTGCAGAGATGGTCAGAGAATGGCTACTAGAATTCAACACGAGCAAATGTAAAGTTATGGAAATGGGACTAGGAGATAGGAGACCAAAGGGACAGTACACAATGAAGGGGAACAGCCTACCTGTAACGACGCGTGAAAGAGACCTGGGGGGGACGAACACCTAATCTATCTCCTGAGGCACATATTAATAGGATAACGACAGCAGCGTACTCTACACTGGCAAAAGTTAGAACATCATTCAGAAACCTAAGTA